TCCTTCCCCGGTAATGGCTAGCCCTGAAGTTCCCGTCATACCTGCCTCTCCCCATAGTGACTGTAATGCTCTGGCCCACCCCCGCACCCGTAGACCCCATATCCCCTCCCACAGCCTCCGCACCATCCAGAGGGCAATCTTTGTCACTCATTCCGGGGCGGGAGGTAGGCCTGGGCCCCCTACCACTTCTGCAATAGCACTCAGTGGAGGAGGCACCAGGCTGTACTCTCAATCCTCTCACACCAACACAGCCACTCATCCATGCATTCCCCACATAGGTCAATTAAAACACAAAAAATACAACAATAATAAAGTTAAAAAGTGGGTACAGTCATCAATCAGGCATACCATTCACACCACATTCCTAAAATTTATAGCGCACTGCGCAAGTATAGATTAATAACTGTGCAGATAGTTCTTAAAGTTTGAGAATGTGCACTGAATTCAATTTATAAGAATATACTCATTTGGAAGATGGAAACTTGTGGTTCTCATTTTATATATCCTATATTGCTGTTTAGCCCCCACATCCTTGTTTATGTCAATTTATTTTCATTGTGTAAAAAATATAGGAATTTGTGCTGTAAACCATATATTGTTTTGCCTTTCTTCCTCTTTGGGGTGATACATATTCAGAAGCCATACCATTGAGATGTATTATCGGAACAACACTGCTGTTGAACCCCATATGCTCACTTTGCCAGGATGCTCAAAGGCTTGTCCATTGGAGAAGTTCCAAAATCTGGTTACTCCTATTTTGCCAACAAAGGAATGTTGAAAGAGGTAAGATAATATCATGTTTCCATCTATCTACCTGAGATTTTAATAAGATGTTGGAAACAAATTTAACAAGAGGTTTCCTACATTTTCAGATCTCTTTAATGTAGTACTTTCCAAGCATTTTTCTTCATTACCAAAATGGCATGTAAAACAGTCCTTTTTAGTGTTTATCAGAAAGTCCTTATTTCTCTGTGATTGGATAATAAGTTTGTGTGTTGTTAAAAAAAATATTTTACTCAATTTTGGGTCATTTATCCAGGTTTGGAAAGCACTAATTTACTATAATCCTGAAATTGCTATTCTTCTTCAGAAGTTAGGTTTTCAACTTGAGGAATCCAACACCACATTTCATCCTGTCCTATTCTTAAGTATTAAAAGCCTACTAGCCTTTTTGCACTTACTATCCCACTGCTGAATGTAGGTTTCAGAGTACATCGGAAAGGACTTTACTCTTACATGAGTCTCCTTATATGAGTCTAATAACTGGTATGAAGGAATAACAATTCAGTGTATGTTTTGTAGAGTATCAAATTATAGGAGAAACCAATTCTCCAATTAATTGCTAAGGAGAAATTTCCTGTCAATGAGGACAATTAATCAGTGATATGGCTTGCCTCTGGAAGATGTAAATGCTGCATCAATTGAGGTTTTCAAGACAGCCATTTGTCCATTATGGTATAGGACAGGAGTGTCGAACTTGCGGCCTGTGGGTCAGATGTGTCACATGCTGTCCACGGCCACGCCCACCTCCGGTGTAGCAAAAGGGGGGAGCTGCAATACATCACATGATGACAACATATTGTCGCAAGTTTTTTTGTATATAAAGTTTATTTTTTCATTTTCATAACATATAATTACAAGTATACTATTACATAGCCAACATCGTATTGTATTATTAAATGTTTACATCAATTCATCTTACCAACAACTCCCAAAAATAATTATTAGCTCTTCTGCTCTCCATACACCATGTTTGTACCTTATCCGTCACTTTTTTCTCCCTCTCTCCTCCCCCTCCCTACCTCCTTTCTTCCCTCTTCTCTACTTCCCCTTCCTCTCTCCTTCTCCTCTCTCCCCTTTCCACTCCT